ATAATTCTTTACTTTGTTGGCATTGGTTTTATTTAACAATCTCATGCTCATTCAAATTCTTCTTCTTGCAGGGGGATTGTATTCTGGGGGAAATGCTCAGATGGTTGAGAATTCCCTAAATATTCATGGAGATGAAATACTGTATGTTGGTGATCATATCTACACTGATGTAAGTCAATCCAAAGTTCATCTGCGATGGAGGACGGCATTAATTTGTCGAGAATTGGAAGAAGAGGTTTGTGTAGTTGATTTTCTCTTGACATGCAAGAGCACAGAAGAGAAAGTGCAATTAACATGTTTCTGGAACTTGAGATCTCACTATCTGTAGAAAATATGTTTCCTTGTATTAAACAAATTACACAGTCCCTATTTATACTGATACATGATATCTACTTAAGGTAGGAAGGAAATAATATAGACATGAATACAATTCGATTTACAGCAAGAAAGGCTAATTGCTAGGAGGAAATTGTGAAATTGACTTCTGTGTATGCTAGGAAAGGAAAGCTGCGTTAACACCTCACCCGCCAGTGCGCAAAATGGGCATCATAGGATGCACAAGTTTGGAAGATGTATGTTGATGGCGTGGTTTGTGAAGGGCTTTGGTAAACAGGTCTGTAGGTTGGTCAACAGAAGGAACAAAACAAACTTGATGGCTTCCGAGAACAACCTTTCCACAGACAAAGTGATAGTCCAACTCAATGTGATGTGTGCGAGCATGGAAAACTGGATTGACAGCCATGTACATGGTGATGAGATTATCACAAAAGAGTTGGATTGGGAACCGAAGACACACACCCAATTCATGAAGAAGAGAGTAGAGCCAAGTGGTTTCGGCACAAGCATGAGAGAGGGCATGATATTCTGATTCTGTACTAGAGCGCGAGATTGTGGGCTATTTCTTGGAACACCATGAGATGAGGTTAGTTCCAAGAGTAATCACATATCTAGTGGTCGACCGACGTGAATCAGGACACCCAGCCCAGTCTGCATCAGAGTAGGCTAGGAGGCGAGCTGCGACAGTTTGAGGAGTAAAGGTGAGGCTGAAATCAATAGTGCCTTTGATGTACCCAAGCATCCGTTTGTCGGTAACAAGGTGAGGGGTGCGAGGGGCACTCATGAATTGAGCAACAATGTTGACGGAAAAAGATATGTCAGGGCGAGTAAGAGTGAAATATTGTAACTGCCAACAAGCTCGCAATACTCGGTTGGGTTGGAGATAAGAGCACCATCACAAACATAGAGGAGAACCTTGGCAGCCAATGGAGTATATGCGGGTTTGGAATTGAGAAGATTGGCTTTTTGTAAAAGTTCATGTGCATATTTGAGTTGATTGATATGGAGAGTACCATCCTTATGAAGAACCTGTAAACCCAAGAAATAGCTAAGCGGACCAAGGTCTTTGCTGTCAAAGTGGCCACCTAAAAGAAAGATGAATTGTTGGAGATGAGTGGAATCACTGCCAGTTACCGTGATGTTATCGACATATAGAAGAAGAAAGATGGTATGGGAGGCCTAATTGAAAAATAAATAATGAAGTGTCAGCTTGGCTCCGTGTAAAGCCCATAGAGAGAAAGAAAGTACTGATGCGATGGAACCAAGCACAAGGTGCTTGTTTGAGGCCATAAAGTTCTTTATGGAGCTTGCAAACATAAGAATGACGATCAATGAAACCAGGGGGTTGAGCCATGTAGACATCTTCTTGAAGAAACCGATGAAGAAAGGCATTTTTGACATCAAGCTGACAAATGGACCAACCACGAGAAACTGCAAGACTGAGAATAGTGCAAATGGTGGCAGGGTTGACAACAAGGCTGAAGGTTTCAGCATAGTCTATGCCCAGATGTTGATGAAAACCCTTGGCCACTAGACGAGCTTTGTAACGTTCAATGGAGCCGTCAGAGTGGCACTTAATCCGAAAAACCCACTTGCTACCAAGTTCTGAGAATGAGAGGAAGGAACCAAAGACCATGTATGATTTTTGAGAAGTGCATTGATCTCTCTAGTAATGGCGTCAAGCCATTCAGGATGCTTAGTGGCCTGTAAAAAACAAGTAAGTTCAATATGATCAACAATATTTAATAAGGCATGGGGAATGAGGTATTTAATAGTGTCATCGGTATGAAGCTTGGGCTTTTGAATGCCATCTTGAAGGCAGGTGCGCATGCTAGGAATAGGGGCAGGAGTAGGAGATTGCAGAGCTGCTGGAACTGGGGGGTTCGGAGCTACGGGAACAGGGGCAGGCATAAGCTGAGAAAGGTGTATGCGAGGGTGTCGGGAATAAGTTTGGAGCAATGGCTAGGCTGACACGGAAGAAGTGTGGTGGAGTGGACTATAGGGTGTGGCGGGGCCGGGGTCATGGCTTATGACTGCAGCAGCTGGAAAGGTGCGCACCAGGGAGGTGTTGTGAGTTTACGAGTCTGAGTCTGGGGCATGAGTGATATATTCGGGCCCAGGTGCGGAGAAGGGCAGCTTTGACCTAGAGATTGTGGGGAGTATGAGAAGTGGTAAGGAGGGTACGGATCATGGTGGCAATGTGTCTATGTTTGCGTCCAACTAGGCCATTTTTTTTGGGAGTGAGGGGACATGAGAACCGTTAGTGGATGCCTAGTTGACTACAAAGATCAGAGAAAGCATTATTAACATATTCAGCACCATTGTCACTTTGAAGGATTTGCACAGTGGTGTGAAATTGATTTTTAACCATGGCAAGAAAGGTTTGAAAGTAAGAAAATGCCTCATTTTTACGGTGCATAGGATAGATCCAGGAGTAACGGGAAAACTCATATGTAAACAAGACATAATAGCGATAACTAGGGATAGAAATGACCGGGGACATCCATACATCAGAGTGAATGAAATAAAAGGGAGATGAGGCAAAAGTTTTATTACTAGTAAAGGATAGTTTGGTGGATTTGCTAAGTGCACAATCCTTACAGAAAGCATGAGAGACTTTAAAGCCTAGAGATGGCGCTAAGTGAGAGAGCACAAGATGGGATGGATGGCCAATACGACGATGCCAAGTAGGAGAGTGCAAGGTGGTAAGGGCACGGGGGGCGGTGGATGAGTGAGATGAGAAGGAAAGTGGGTAAAGACCATCTTTAGAAGGCCCCTGAAAGAGTAACGAACCAGTACGTAAGTCATAGATTTGATAAAAGTCTGGAGTAAAGACAAAGAAAACTAAATTATCACGAGTAAAACGGGACACAGAAAGAGGATTAGTACGAAGAGTGGGAAGATAAAAGACATTTTGAAGAGAAAATTTATGAGAATCTAAAGGAAGAGGAAGAGAGCCAGTATGAGAGATAAAGAGAGAATCCTCATTACCAAGAAATACAGAATTATTACCCTGATATGGCTATTGACTTTGGAGATTAGAAGGACTACCAGTCATGTGATGAGTGGCACCTGTGTCAGAGTACCAAGTAGAGTCAGATGGCTGCATGAATTGAGCCCCAGCAAATGAAGGATATGATTTTGGGTCATTGTAGCGATGAGGACATGTTGCAGTAGTATGTTGATTGGTATTGCAGGTGGTGCACCAAGCGAGTCCCAAAACACCAAGAGCTGAGTTGGGTTGGGTAGAGTGTTCGCTAGAAGCAGCAAATTGGGCCCAAGGGGGCTGAAAGAAAGGTAAGTTACTTTGAGGTCCAGAATTTGGAGCAAAAGGAGGGCACAGTTGATTAGGCCATTGGGGCTGCGGGGAGCCATTCCATGGGTTGCTCCAGGAAGGTGAGAAGTTGTGTTAGCCACCATGGCCACCATGCCTATTGCTGGAGGACCCACCACCACAGTGAGAATTAAAGGAAGTATGACCAATGCTGTGAGGAGAAGATTGGGTGGCCATTAGCTCTGTGTTTTGATTAGGAGAGATTGGAGGAGCCTGTGCTTCGAAAGCTAACAAATGAGCACGAAAATCAGCAAAGTCAGGAAGCGGAGGAAAATTGAGAATTGTTGTGACGAGCATTTTGTAATCAGGTCCTAAACGTTGGAGCACAACAATGACAAGTTCTTTTGGGGAGACAGGTTCATTGATGGCAGCCAATGAATCAGCAAGGGACTTAGCATGATGAAGGTAAGCATCAATGGGTTGAGAGCTTTTTTGCATATCCATGAGTTGAAAACGAAAGCAGATTCACTAACCATACTAGATTGAGAGAAGTGGCGTTGGAGACACTCCCAAAGATCCTGGGTAGAGGTGCAGCTGACGGTGAGAGAGAGAATGAACTCAGAGAGTGTACTAGTGATGTAGCTAACAATGAGTTGGTCTTGTTGGTACCACTGAGCATGGGTGGGATTGGTTCGGGTAAGAGTGGAGGTGGTGGTTGTTGGTGTTGCGGTCGTAGAAGTGGAGGTTTGGGTAGAAGTTTGTTTATGAGTGTCATCGATAAATTTCTAGAGGTCATGACGGGCTAAAAAATGTTTGAGTTGACGGAGCCAAAGGAGATAGTTGGAGTCAGTAAGCTTGATAAAATGAGAAGAGTTGGGGCTAGGGAGGGAGATGGTGGATTCAGAAGAAGCCATGAGGTGGACCTAAAAGAGAGGATTTGATTGAATAAGGGAGAGGGAGGAAACCCTAGGTTAAGCTGATACCATGTAGAAAATATATTTCCTTGTATTAAACAGATTACACAAAGTCCCTATTTATACTGATACAGAATATCTACTTAAGGTAGGAAATAATATAGACATAAATACAATCCAATTTACAGCAGGAAAGGCTAATTGCTAGGAGGAGATTGTGAAGTTAACTTCCGTGTGTGCTAGGAAAGGAAAGCTACGTTAACACTATCATCGAAGAATTGAAAATTTTGGCATGATTAATAATATACTGACTAGAAAAAACACTTTGAGACAAGAAATGGAACCCAAAGAACCTGCTTGCCAGTTTCCTTATATAAATATTCTATTGTTCAACAGACCAAACACCTATGAACTATAATTTTTAATTTGGTGTCCTAGCAATTGAGAGATTTAATATCCTCGAACTGTTAAATGCTGATTAGGTCTCCATTTGTTTCGTGAAATTTTGAGGCTGCAGTTTAGTGCTTTGATTCATAGCCGGGGTCATAGAGCATCACTGGTAGAGCTTATAAATCAAAAGGAGGTCGTAGGGGATCTTTTCAACCAACTTCGGCTCGCCTCGCAAAGGCGAACTAAAGGACGCCCTGCTCAAGTAATTAAGCTTTATCCATCACTGAATTCTTGTAATGTATAGTGATAATATCTCAATATATTTTTCATATCTCCACTTTTTTATGCTTCCATCTGTATCCTTGATCATTAAACAATTACTGCCTTAATTAACAAATATTGTCTACTCACCGTTGCATGTATTTGAGTATAGAAGTCAAGATGATCTGGTTATCATTTGAACATTTCTATACTAATAGATAAGTGCAACTTATAATTCTGGTGTTACCTCTGAACTGAATCCATGCTACGTTTTCTTTTTCCCTTTAAGCATCACCACCCTCAGCAAACAGTATGAACTCCTAATCCAAGAGTGTGGACCAAGAGATGATAGAACTGGAAATATAAAAAAAGAAATGGTTTATATAATGTAGTGCTTCTTAACTTTATCTGAACTTTTCTGCACTTTCAGACCCTTGCTGCAAGAAACTTGGATGATCAAGAACTCTCAGAAAGCATGCAAAAGCTACTTATGGTTATGCAAAGACTGGACCAGAAAATTGCTTCAATGCTAGAAGCAGATGGAGAGCTCTTCAACAAAAGGTAAGATGGGGTTAGGAAACATACGGAATTGATTATTTTTATTACTAGTGTATATCTGTGGAAAATGTTTCAGTCATAAATATACAGTTGACCTCTTGAACCTGCTGTGCATTAGGTGGGGATTTCTTTCCCGTGCAGGGTTGTGGGATAAAAGCCATTTGATGAGACAAATTGAGAAGTATGTTCTTTTTTTCGACGGTTCATATTTCATTCATCACAGGACTCTGGTTGACGTCTGTGACAGAAATAAAAATTTATATTTTGAGTGTCCTCAACAATGATTCTCACAATTCTTTTTCATCTTACAGGTATGCCGATATATATACCTCCAGGGTGTCAAATTTCTTACATTATACACCTTTCATGTATTTCCGCTCACAGGAACAGGTAACTACTAAACACCAAAGCTTAAATTGTTAAGGAATGCCAACATTGTCATCTTCATGCGCAACCCTGCACGTTGAAAGGACCGTATAAATTACCAAATGAGTAGAGAATGAGGATTTGAGATTTCGAACTTAGGACCTCTTGTAACCAAAACTCTGATACTGTGAGGTAACAATGTGAAAAAGAGGACAAGACTACAATATTAATGAACATGCAAATAAGCAAGCAATACATGACTATTTTATGCCTTTTACCACTGCAGACGCTTGCTCATGATTCGTACTCATACTACTGTTCGAGGTTTAATGGGTCTGCTGTGGATGACGAGGTCGACTTTATGTTGTAGAAGTGCATTTTTGGCTGTAAATATTGCTCAAGTTGACCATGTTGACCATACTAATTATTGTAGTATCTTGACTCCATTGTTGTTCTGTATGAATGATCCAGGCACTTTACAATTTTCAAGGTTATAAATTAATAATGAATAACAATGTTTAATTACTAATTAGTAATCAGTGCTTATCCAATGACCAGTGGATTGTTTATGCCTGACTTTCACCCCAACGTTGCTAGAATTCAAAGTGCCGATTATAGGGAAACATAGCGCACACAAGCTGTGAGAGGCTAATCAATTGGCGATACTAGTCGGTAACCAGCCTCTCACAGTTAGGACGCACTTGGAATGTTTTGCATGTATAAAGCATTTCTTTTCTAATAAAAATACATCTAGAAACTGTACAAAGCAACTTTGTTTTGGGAATTACTAATAAAGCATTTCCTTCCTACCTTTGTTCCATCCTTTCCCATAGGTTATTAGAGGCCTTGTCATAGACATAGAGAAAGGCAACTTAGTGAAGGCTGATCGATTTGGTTATGTAAAATAGGCACATTTACTTATCATTTTCTGAGGAGATGAGGCCCCAATCCCTTCAATATTTAAAGATGTAAAACACATGAAATTGAATGAGCCCTTCAAGTGGAGCTTAAAAGAACGGAGCATAATAAAAAAAATGATCTATTCCTATTGGTAATTTACCTCTCTGAATAAAATTACATTACATACTTTTTTTTCTTTGGATAAAAAGAATATAAAAGCTATCTAAGATGAGGCACTTGCATGCAATGCTACCAAAGAAGCATAAATGCCATCCTTGATACCGATCAAAGTTTCATGCTTTCCTTTCTCTGCAATGACTCCATTTTTCACCACTGCGATTACATCCACACTCTTTATTGTGGATAACCGATGGGCAACCACGATTGTCGTTCGATCCACCATGATTCGGTCCAATGCATCTTGAACCACTCGTTCCGATTCAGCATCAAGAGCACTTGTGGCTTCATCTAGTAGTAGCATCTTTGGTGTCTTCATTATAGCTCGTGCAATTGCCACCCTTTGCTTCTGTCCACCAGACAATTGAATACCCCGCTCTCCTACTATTGTATCATAACCCTGCATTGTTTTTCCAAACATAACATGGTTAATCTTCAACGTTCTGAATAAAATTCTGTGAATTTTCATCAACTAGACCTTCTCATTTATGCAGCACCATGGCAATAGATTATATTATAGTATTTGCGGCCAAAAGAAGTTGACAAGCTTGTTAATTTCGTGGTGCCCACCTGTTGTAAACTACTGATGAACTTGTGAGCATTTGCCAATTCTGCAGCAGCTATAATTTCAGCCTCTGTTGCATTCCCTTCCTTTCCATATGCAATGTTGGCTCTGATAGTGTCATTAAACAATACAGGCTCCTGGCTCACCAGTCCCATTTGCTGTCTCAACCACTTGAGCTGTAGCTTTTGGATTTCAAATCCATCTAATGTAATGTGACCTGAATCAGGGTCATAAAATCTCTGCAACAATGAGACGACTGTCGATTTCCCACTTCCACTTTCTCCAACCAAAGCGACTGTCTGAATAACATAATTCAAATTTGTAAGTCCCAGAAACTTGAATTAGACTACGAGGACCAAATCTTATGCATTGTTTGAAATGAGTAAAAGAATAAAACTGTTACCAAGTTACCTTGCCATGATGAATGGTCAAGCAAAGATCCTGGAAGATTGGTACATCAGGTCTAGTTGGATACTTAAAACTGACATGGCGAAGTTCAATTTCTCCCTTCACATTTTCTATAGTTGTTCCAGATTCATCACTAGAGTCTATTTTTGATTTCCGGTCAAGAATGGCAAATATGGAAGCAGCAGAGCTCTTTACTTTACCAAGATTAGGGGCTAGGGAACCTGACTGAGACACTCCAACAGCTGTCATCGTGAGAGCAAAGAAAACCTGCAAACCATGGAAATGCTAACAATCGACTGAATGGACTAATGAAGATTTAATTCCCAAGTAACACGTATTTAGCAGAGTTCAGATCCTCTGCTAATGTTTTCTCATCTATTTACTTACTTGAAGACTTGTAGTGCAAGGCATAAAAACATACCCGGAAAACATCAGAGAATGTTGTCTTGCCTGCTGCAACAAGTCGGGCTCCAACATAAAAACTGCAGGCATACACAGAAATAAGAAAAAAGAACGATAGCCCAAAACCTATCCCGCTGATTAACCCTCGTCTTATCCCTGTCTTAATAGGGCCTTCACATTTCTTCTGGTACAATTCAATCACCTTCTCTTCAGCACAAAAGGAAGCAATTGTTCGAATACTCCCCACTGCATCATTGGCTACTTGACTTGCGTCCTCATACATTTTCTGCAACAATTTAAAATTTTCAGCATTGACAAAAATGATTGGTCTTATATATATTATGTATGACGTATTGGATGGTGTTTTGACTGCACCAGCTACAAGTTCTATACTACAAACTTTTGTAAAGTTCGGAGTTTGGAGAAATACCTTTGCATCTGCACTGAATCCTTTCAAGTACTTGACTTGAGCATAACCAGTTAATCCTAATAGAGGCATCAAAACCAGGATTATAAGAGCAAGTTTCCAATTTGCCACAAAAGCAATACACAAACCAGCAATTGCAGTTGCTGAATTCTCAACCAGCAACCCTAGAGCATCTCCAACCAGCCCACGCAGAGAAGCTGCATCTGCGGAAAGCCTCGCACCAATTGCACCACTTGAGTGCTCAGTATCGTCAAACCAACTTACTTCCATGTAAACCACCTTCTCATAGCACATTGATCGAACTCGTTTTATTAACTTACAGCCTGCCACAGCAAAAAAGTATTGTCTTGCTGGCACTGCTATGAAAGTTACCACTCCAAGAACAATGAAGATTAATGCCCAAAACTTCAAGTCCTTACGGAGTTGAGGAGGTGGCTCGTAGAAGGTCTTGATTACACTGGATATCAATATCGAAAAAATAGGTAAGATTGCCCCATTGACTGCTGCAGCTATAGTACCTAGTAATAATACTGGGATCTCTGGCTTGTTCAGGTAAGCCAGGCGGCTAAGTGAGACTTCTGGAGGCAGTCTTGATGATGCAGAAGCAGGAATATCACGTCCTGCAGATGCTGGTTCAAGAGAATCGACTGCAGTGGGCACATCGTATGAGATTGAGAAGGAATGACGGTTACTATTTCCTCTTCCAGATGATCCCCGGCTTATGGATCGTAAGTTTGAAAATCTTTGACTTGAATGTCTTTGAGAATCCACGCTGCTAAGCCTTTCGTGATCATTTACTGCAGTCTGTTCTGACACGTTGCTCATTTCTTGCAACCTTATAAGCTGGCTATATGCCCCTTCAGGGTCCTTAACTAGCTCAGAATGTCGACCTGCTCAGTTGAAAACGATCAGTATGTGCAATACCCTTGGACTAAGAATAAGATGAATTGTAACATTATGTTGAACTATAGACAATACGATTTGGCCTTCAAATGGAAGAACAGGACAACATAAACAAAGGCATTACCTTTTTCAACAATTGTTCCTCGATGTATAACAGCAATGGTGTCAGCATTCCTTACTGTGCTCAAGCGGTGGGCTACAACAACAGTAGTCCGGTTGATCATAATTCTGTCCAGTGCCTCCTGCACAATGCTCTCAGATTCTGCATCAAGAGCACTCGTGGCTTCATCTAAAAGTAGAATCCTTGGGTCTTTGAGAATTGCTCTAGCTATTGCAACTCTCTGCTTTTGGCCCCCAGATAGCTGAGTTCCATGCTCACCAACCATTGTATCTAGTCCCTAAATGCATAAATCAGAAAACCACAAATAAGAAAAAAGGAATTGAATGAGTTGATCGAAATAATCCGAGTTTTTAGAAAATTCATGTGATATCTCTATATTTCCATCTTTGAAAATAATAAGATCACTGGATGTCTCAATAAGCTTCCATGGTCGTGGAAATTAAGAATTCACACAAAAAGTTTAGAGAACAAAATACCAGAACTTAGATGAAAGTTTAAATGAATTTAACCTGAGGCAGTTTGTCTATGAATTTAGCAGCATTGGCAAGCTCAGCAGCAGCCCTTATTTCTTCAGTGGTTGCACCATCCTTCCCATAGGCAATATTATCTTTAATGCTACAAGTAAATAAAACGGGTTCCTGGCTGACAAGGCCTATTTTCTGTCTGATCCATTTCAGCTGGAACTCTTTGAGATTAATACCATCAATAAGAACTTCGCCAGCTAGGGGGTCATAAAACCTCTCAATCAAACTGACTACAGTTGATTTACCACTTCCACTCTCTCCAACCAAAGCAGCAGTTGCACCACTAGGTATTGAGAGAGAAAATCCATCGAATATTTGTTCATCCGTTCTTGCAGGATAACTAAAATGAACATCCCTCAGTTCTATGTCTCCACGGATATCATGTAATTGTTTCCCATTAGTGTTAGAAGCATCAATCTCTGGCTTTCTGTCAATTGTCTCAAACATCTTATAAGCTGCAGCTTGTCCAGCAGCAAATGTACTCAAGCATGGAGATGCCTGCCCAAGAGACCTGAAAATTTATCATAGAAACATTGTTCTATCTTGATCTTCTGAAGAATCACGTATCAAATTTTGGACTGAAGGGGGGAGGGGGAGTAGTCAGTAGATCACGCAAAAATGCAAGCATGTTAACTAGTACAATAGTACTACACCAGTCAACAAATTTGTTCATTAAATTTTAATGAAATGCAACTTACATGGAGCCAGTCAACACAGAGAAAATTACATTAATGACTTCCCCTCCTGTATATCCTTTTTCAAGTATCATCTTTCCTCCAAACCATATAGCCAGAGAATAACTACACATCATAATCAGCATAACCGAACCCATTCCGAACCCAGATGCCAAACCCTCTTGCACACCAGAGTTGTAAGCTTTAATTAAGGAGTTGTTGTAATTAGCTATAGCTTGCTTTTCTCCTGTAAACGATGCAACCTGAATTGGGAACACCAATCAGTTTTAGTTCTACACTAAGAAAATAGAAATAATAAATTTTTGTTTTAAAGATCTTAAAGACAAGTAGGCCTACTGTTCTGATT